AATCCGCGAGCATAAACGTAGTATCGGGGCCTTAATTCTTGGAATAACTTTTGGGGTGCCATATCTTACAAACACTTACTAAGCATTTCTAGTAACTCAGACCTCTCTAGTAAGAGCGAAGGAGGGCCCTTGAGGCTCCTCGCCGGCATCGACATCCCGAAGCAGCCGGAGCAGGACCTGATGTCCTGGCCGGTTGAGGTCATGTAGTACTCTCAGTAGGCAGGTATGTATGTATGTATGTACGTACGTATGTATGTATGTATGTATGTATGTATGTATGTATGTATGTATCTATGTGTATCTATATGTGTTCATTATGTGTACGTACATATATATATATATATAATATGTGCGTGTATGTGTGTATTTACATGTATATATATATATATATATATGTGTGTGTATATACATACTACACATATCTAGCGATCTGTCTGGCCAACTGGGCTGTCACATGTTTGTTTATCTGTCTTATACACCGACACATACTCGCAACAAAAACCGGTGGTAATGGTGATAGGTCAGTTTCAATCTCAAGCCAGTACACTAATGTCAAACACACGCAGGCCACGAGACCTAATGTAACAGAATAGGGTTTTGGGGGTTCCTTTTTATAATTGTAGTCAAAAACATACCCGCCAACCCCTATTCTAATTGTTAAGGCTCCTATATCAGATTCTTCCACTCGGAGCCCTAACCCCAAAACATCCCCAAAAGCACAAATCCTGAACCAGTGGGTTTGTTTGTCTTGGTCCCTTTCGTACCCTGAAGCCCTTTATAAGCACTAAACCCTATACCCAGAGCCTCAAAACCTCCCAAACCCCTGATTCTGTCCTCTGTCTCGTGAGTTGTCTTGCTCTTTAGTTCAAATAAAACCATCCGAAGCACCAGAAATCGCAGGCGGAGCGGCCAAGGAAACTGCGGGTGACCTAAGGACAACGCGCTGACACCGGCAGGGCTGCCGCAACAAGGTGCTCTAATTGGCTTTAGGAGGCGACTGTCAATAAAAGCCCTAGAAGGGCTGTATATAGAGGGCTCGACGAGGACACTGTGGAGATTAAGACCTTAGGGCTCATGGGATTTATAGCTACAGGGCCTAGCGATTGCTGTTGGATTCTGAGGGGTCCAAGTTCCGGGATTTGGGATTAGATCGTCTTTCGTGGGCGTTCGCGGTTCAGCTTATGGCTTAGAGCTTGGGCGTTTCTATGTTTCAGCATCCAAAGACAGGACTGACATGATTGCATGAGTTTCAGAATCTGGATCCCAAACCCTAAACCCTAAACTCCTAATTAAACCCTCAACCCGAAATTAACCAACAAGGGTCATGCTCTGCTTAGGCTCATGCTGCGGTGGGGCTGTCGGGATCCATATGGAGGTTCTGGCTTTTGGTCTCCCGCCTGTGCAGTTTTGGCAGCGACCTGAAAGCGCTGTAGCTGCGAAAGATATCAGACGAATGGCTGCAGTTCACTGCACCCTAAGGGTCCAAAGGACCCAATAATTAGGTACGTAGGCTTCGGATACTAGTTATGCAGGTTGCTATTTGGGAGAGTATATGATGATTAGGTACTTGGACCCTTGGGGGTAGTTTAAAGAACCACGATCCTTCCAAGTGTTGGTTCATGTGCAGCTTGCGCAACTCGGTCAATGCCTGGCACATCGCCAGTTCTCGTCCCCAGTTTTTAGAATAGCTGGCTCCAAGGCATGACTTCGCTCCCATTAGAAGTTTTGCAAAAGCCACAGAAGGCCTTGCAGGATGCATCGACATGTCAACAAACATGGGGCGAAGGGCAAGTGGAAGAAGTCACTTTTTTCGCAAGCGGCAATTGTCAATCCGTGCTTGTGCGTGTGCTGGGTACTGCCCAATTAGCAGTATTCGCCACAGGTGCTTGTTTGGGCTTGATTCGGGAAGCGGTCCGAAGATCGGCTTGCTGTTAAAACAAGGGTGCTATACAGGTTCCTGTGTCCGTTACGAATAGGGTTCCCCAATCGTTACCATAAGTTGTGGCTACCTCATGCCTCCACTGGGCACAAGTATCAGTGTGGAATCATTGCCACTAGGGCCGCAACGGTTGGTACTAAGCTGCACTCTTGCTAGCCTGCGTCGTTACTACCGTTATGAACAATGAGTGGCTAATGCTACTAGCCCTTTTCTGCTGCTTTGGTTGCCGACTAGACAAGGTCTCCCTGCTGTTACTGCTACTGCGATGCTTGCCACGCTGCTCATGATGCCGTACCTTTGCACAGAGTTGTCTTGCTAGGCGAGATGCTGAAATAGTTGACTTGGCAGTCTTGAAACTAGTGGATGCTAGTAATAGCTACAGCTACTTACTGCATGGTGCCACACCCACCAATACCACTACGGTTTTCCTGCCGTTGCTACTACCTACAAACTCCCACTGCTGCGAGGACCAGAGCTTCTAATACCATCGCTGGCATCTTGTGACCGTCGCTGCTGTTGTTGTTGCGGCTGTGTCTCTTATCGCTAATGTAGGGGCCTTAATAATTAGAACAGATTGCACAGGGCTTTGGGGCAATTATATTATACTATAACGAAATAAGGAACCCCCAAAATTGTACAGGTAATTATTTAGGCCCCTATATTACGTCTTCTGTGACCTGTGCAGTTTTAATCAGCGCGGCAGTTGCTACTCTCCAGATCTTGGCGTTGCGCTACTACCTCAGCCAACTGCCACTGTTGCTACCACCACGACCACCACCACGCCCAACATGACAACCAAAGCCCTTCTACTGAGTAGGATTCGAACATGCACTTGGGGACAAAGTTCGGGTTCCAACATCCTATAAAGTAGTTCCTGGGCCCCCAAAACTATGTAGAATAATAGCCCTTTACAGCATTGGGCCATTAGTTTACCTACTTTTGGGGATTTACGTTGCAGCTTCCAGGGGAACGGACCGTGCCTGAACCTGGCGGCAGGAGAAATGAGAGCTTCTCAGCTCTCGATGAGATGCTATCCAAGAAGTTCAAAGACACTTGCTCAAGTGAATAAGATTTCGGGCTTAGGATTTAAAACTTAGGGTTCAAAGACACTTGCTCAAGTGAATAAGAGACTAGGTGGGACCTTTCGCAGCAGAAGCTTTCACACCACCTTCCTAACTCCATTTCCTCCCGAGCATTCTACCCCATGATCCTTGGCCATGAATCTTGTGAAAGCGAGACCTAACTTCAATTAAACCCTGAAGGCTATAGACCCTGAGCCCCACCCTAAACCCTTTACACCTGGACTACTCATATGCTAGGAACCCTAAACCCTAAACCCTAAAACGCTAAACCCTAAACCCTGAGATGCTTGAAGCTGCGCGAAAGGGACCAGACGGGCTTTGAGCCAGCGGAAGACGTGTCTCACGGTTTCTGACCTCGTGGAAGACGATGGCAAAGCCCAAGAAGCAAAGAAGAAGACACCTGGGCAACCGTACCCGGGCCTTGAAGGGGTGGGGTAACACGTTGACAGCCATGGGGGTGTGGATTCTAGTAAGCAGCCCGAGTGTTCTTGGGCTGAATTAAGTTACGTGAGCTTTCAGGGCTGAGGAAATTATGGCAAAAGTGTGTTAAGTTTATTTCAAGCGATACTGTTACAAAATACACCGACAAGCATGCCTACGTAGCGTGAGTGGCGAGGGGCAGGAGAGGTTGGGCTTCTCAGGGTCGGCGCGCATCTAACATCGGGGCCTTAATAGTTAGAATAGGTTTTTTGAGGGTCTCTGGTACTAGAAACAGAGTAAGGGATCTCCAAAATGACAAAATGGCATTGGTAATTATTTAAGCCCCTACATTAGAGCTCGTGGATTCGTGCTTTGAAGACTTGGCTCGATTGGCCTTGAAGGCCGTGGTACTTGGAGGTTCATGGGTAGTTATAAGTGGGGTTATAAGTAAGGTAACTATAGTTATAACCTATACTCAGGGACTTATAACCCCACTTACAACTACCCCTAGACCCTAAACCCTAGAAGCCCTATAGAACCCTTTAAACGAACCCTACTACTTATAGCTACCCATGAACCTCCAAGTAGGACACGGTAAGCTGCTTGTGGGACATCTTGGGCTCGAATTCACGACAAGAGGTGCCCAGGTTCGGGGAGTTTAGGGTTTAGGGGTTAGGGTTTAGGGCATAGGGCATAGGGTTTAGGGTTTAGGGTTTAGGGGTTAGGGTTTAGGGCATTCAGAAGGAGAACCTCGGGTGTGTTTTGCCGAAGCTCAGAGCAAGTCTTTGAAGGTATTTAGGTCTTTGGCAGCAGGCTCCGTGCTGCTGCGGTTAAATCACATCGAGACGCTGTGCATCCAGCCTGTCGCTGATGCACGATCTCGGAAACCAAAGCGGCCACAGACAGAAAGGACTGTAACCGGGGCGACCCCCCCTTGAAACATGGGAGTTTCCGAAAATAGGGGACCCTAATATAGTACCCTAAATAATAGGATCCTTATTATAAGGACCCCAAAACAAGGTACCCTAATTTTCGGAAACTCCCACATAGTTGCAGACAGGCCGCCAGTTTGTGCAAGCTTGGGATGTTGCTAGGGCGGGTCAGCTTTAAAGAAAAAGATGGCGATGCTCACCGGGTTTCTTCTCTTCCACCAACTCCACAAGCCTCTACCCATGAATTCTAAGACGATGTGCCTTGCAGTCGTTGTAGTCATTGTCTTAGCCTAGCAATTGTGGGCACCCTGACTATGATAATCATGTTTGCACCTTTGCATGTCAAGTATTATATATTCCCTTTTGTGGAACGTTTCGCAGATAGGCATCGTGTCTTGAAGTTTCACAGACGAGAGACACCTATCTGTAAGGTAAAAGCAGTGGCTGAGTGGGACTTCAAAAATGTTCAAAGCTGGCTTCTGGGCTGGCATTTTCGTCTCGGCGATTGTTCAACCCGACAGCCTTGGCCTAAGTGATGCCGAAAAGCAACTTCCCCCACCCGCCCACCCCCCGCCAGCCCAGTCTCAGCCCCTCTCCTAAAAAGTTCAAATGTGCAGCGGAAGGAATTCACATCTTCATGCCAAAAGGGCTACGATTTGAGTTTGGGATGACGTCGGCTGGAGTTGCATTCACGATCTCGGCCTCCTCAGTAAACTCCTCGATGAGCTCAGTTGCAGTCCTCTCTTTCACGGCACTGGCGTCACGATCATCAGCAAGCTTGCTCTCATCACGTTGCTGGGATGCCTGGGTTATAACTTCGAGGCCCCCGAAGCACCTATGAATAGGTACCCCTATACTCTATACCTTATCAGAAGGCAACCTGAACCCAAAACCCTAAACCCCTGTAAACTTTCCCCAAGTGCTACCTGGATGCATGCAAAGCTGAGAAGCCTGTACCAGAAGTCCCTGCGGCGGAGCGAACCTGGAGCTTGATGGCCATGTCGATCATGAGCCGGTCCTTACTTGTTTGCTTCTTTCTCGGGCCTTTGTCTCCGCCTTGGGTTTATGGCTTCGGGTTCAGGGTGTATAGGGGTGATAATCATACCCCAAGAAGATGAAACCTCAAGAAGATGAAAGATTATCTCCTGTACTGCCATTGGAGCTAGGATTAGGGGGACCCTTGGGGATATAGACCCTCTCAAAAAGGTCCCTTTTAAGAGAGCCAAATAATAATAATAATAATAATAATACCTATGCCCAGGGTCCATCTCCTCAAACTTAGTTTGTGTCATCTGGGCCAACCTGCCGATGTCGCTGTCATCCACACTTTCCTCCAAGGCTGGCCACGGCAAGTCGGCTTTGGCAAGCCCACCGTAGCGCTGAACCCGGTCTAGTGGTACCATGGGATACTGCAGGTATTCGTAGGGGTCCTCTGTCGTAGGCACGGCGCCACGAGGGCCGTTGTCGCCCTCGTCTAGTTCGCAGGCCTCCTCCAGATGCAGGGATGTCAAGAAGGCTGCCCATCGCTTCTTGGAGATCAGTGGCATGGCCGTCTCGTAGATGTTGATGCCACGTGTCAACCGTGCATTGCCCCGTGCATCAAGGAAGAGCTCCTTGTAGCGCTGGCAGAGCTGCGCCACCATAAGATTCATCAGGTACACATGCCAGCATGCAGCGAAGCCCATGACAAGCCACTTGAGCAAGGGCTCATCTGCCTGTGCAATCTCCTCGTAGTTGTCAGCGCCATAAGTATTGAAAGCCATCGCCAACAAGGACTCGAAAGCCAAAGGCCAGCTGAAGAAGTCCCTCATGTGAACGGACGCAGCGCCCAAGGAGTGAGGCAAGCAAGCAATGGCCGAGGCGAAAGCAGCGGTAAAGAAGCACAAGACGGCCATGTACATGATGAACTCCCACATCAGGCTCGAGCAGATCACGCTGAAGACGGAGAGGTGTACGTTCAGGTGCACCAACTCGCATGCCAGCACAAAGTAGAGGAGCATCGGGAAGGCGGCAAAACGGTTGTAGATGTGCATCAGGTTGCACTGCCACTCGCCGAACTCGCAGCAATCAATGAGCAACTCGTTGCTGACCGCGAGGCAATGGAGGATGGGCTCGCAGCAGAACAGACAGATGAGGCACAGAAGCAGCAGCACTTCGACCACCTCCTGGCGCGTCTGCAGCATGTACTTCGGCACGGGCAGGCAGCCGCCCAACCGTGTCACTTGCTTCTGGCGGATCGCTCTGTAGGTTTGGTACCCATGTTTGGCGAAAAGCTGCCCAAGGCTGAAGATGTACAAGAACGCCCGGCAAAAGACCACGGAATACCGTTTTGTACTCAATGGATCGGGTGGAATGAATGCTTGCCTTAACTAGGTTCCTGTGTGAAAACGTATCTACTTATCGGACATACATCTATATATATATACATATATATATATATATATATATTGTGCAAGGGTTCGAAAGTGTGACCAGGTTCTCTTTTTGGCGTCCTAAATCATGTCGATGTTACTAGATGGGGTTACTATTCAAACACTACAGTAGGCTTCCTCAAATTAAAAGGATACCTGCTGTACTCGGGTTGCTGCTCGGCCATGACGTACACCAGAAGAGTGACACAGAACCACAACTTCGTCAGGGCCCAGGGGAGGCAACAAAGACGTGTCCAGAGCAAGTCCGCTTGGAAGACTGCCGTAGGGTGGCAAATGATCTCAGGGTCACCATGCTTGATCAAGTCCTTTCTTGTCCAGATTCTTAGGGCAAGTGAAGCGACAGGCATCGAATGCGATGGTAGGATTACGTCATTACGTAGCAAATTTTTGCCTTCGACTCTCAGACGCACGACTAGACGTGAACTCCCAAGGCTCCAAGAGTGAATTGGTCAGCTGACCCTCGTCGTCCCTGAGGAAGGAAGCGATGTAGTAGTTCGCGCGCCGTACCCCATTTTTGACATTCTTGGAACGCCAGATGAGCCCGTCAAACAATGTGGAAAGCAGGGAGGGTGCCTTGTCACAAAGCATGCTGATGATGTCTGCGTGGCGAGTGAACCTTGGTCCCTCTTGGAAAGGAGAGGAAAAAAGATCTGTCTCCAAGACTCCATTTCAAACCTTAGCAAGGCCAAACCACCCAAAACCCAAAACCATCAAAGCCAACAACAAAAATAAACGGCACTCGAAATTTCCAGATCTCGGAGCAGTGCTTCCATTCCATAGTAGTACCGCTCTCGGTCCGCACGCATGGTCAAGAGGTCGCTGAGAATGGCCTTCGCCGACTCCAGAGCCCCCTTCCTGGGTTCGGGGTTTAGGGTTTAGGGTTTAGGGGTTTAGGGTTTAGGGTTTAGGGTGTAAGGTGTAGGGTTTCGGGTTTAGGGTTTATTTCGCCCAGGGTTTAGGGTTTGGGGTTTAAGGGTTTCGGGTTTAGGGCTTAAAGTTTTGGCTTGTTTAGGGTTTCGGGTTTAGGGGTTCCAGAGCCCCCTTGGAAGCCCCAGAGGTTTATAGGATGTACAATAAGTCTAGGGGCTCTTATTCTCAAGCAACTTAGCTTATAATTACCATAAAGAAGACACCGTGCGATTTTAGAAAACTCAGCTCCTTAACATGAACCAGGCTTCTCGATAGCCCAAATCAGAGGAGACATGGATTCGGTACCCACCTGAATCTTGCAGACTCGCGCATTGTGTGTGGGCTTCTCACATATTGCCTTTGCGTTTGCTACAATACCTGAGCAGTCTGTCTGTCTGTCTGTCCGTCTGCCTCTGTCTGCTGTCATGGTTCTGCCTCATCATCTATCTCTCTCTGTCCTCTCTCTGCCTTTTCCAGCGTGTTCGTCCGGGTGTATGTATGTAGATCGAGATTGAGGCACTTGCGTGATTGATTTCATTCGTAGTTGCCTCGTGTCTTGTTGGTGGTGTGGCTCTGCTATTCTCTGTCGCGCTCCTCTAGGTTTGCTCTGTAGTTGTAGCATATACAATGTAGGTGTTCATGACAACGCCATAGGCATGACAAGGGCCAACCTGGACGCGCAGCAAGATCACCTCGCGCTCCCCACGCGGATAATTCGCGACAGCCGTCTGCATCTCTGCTGAGGTGTTCTTGTTGATTGCAATAATCACTGGCGTGGAGCCTTCCGCCAAGGTGCGGATGAAGATCCTGCCAATGAGGTCCAGTGTCCACCAGAGGCCATCATGCAAAGACTCATCGGGGCAGTATTCTTTGATGGTTCGCATGAAAGCCTGTACAAAGGGGCGGACCAAATCCTCCGGAATGCCATGGCCTGCATGCATGAGGCCAAGAGCTGACAGGGCGATAACAGCCTGGTGAGTCTTGGTGTAGATGTCCGACATGATAGTCAGGACCCTCCCCATAATGTACACCAGTCGCTTGTTGGCTGCCCGCAGATAAATCTGCGACTCCTCGCAACTCGCGAAGAAAGTATCAAAGACCTGGAGCTTAAAGTTTGCCAACTTAGCCTCGTCCAACCGGGCTAGGAAGGTCCGTAGGCACTGGTGGTTCCTTACGATGAGCTCACTGTTGTCTTCAACCTTTTTCTCCACAATGCTCCAGAACCAAGCCCACGCATTCTCATGCTCCGTGCTCCAGGCAGTGGGCAGGAGAGACCTGAGGCTGGCGAACATAACGGAACGGAACTCCTTCAAATTCACTTTCCCATGTTTCGCGAGTGTCAAGGTCAAGACATCGCAGTCTTCCTGGACTCGGTCAATGTTGCCAACGTAGGGCACGAGGGACTCCATGGCGTAGAGCATATCAGCAAACCACATGCGGTCTCCTGTGCCCATCACCGCAGCATTGAATCGCGCCATCGCTGCGAAGGTCTTTGGGATGTTCATGTTTGAGTTATCCTGCCATGATCCACGCTTTCCCTGGCCGTCCTCCTGCTCCATACTGCCCATGGCATTCTCCGCCTTGTCCAGATTCACCTGCTGCTCCTCAGCTTGATTGTCCTTCTCTTCTGGTCCTTCGGCGGTGCTTACATGAGACTCAACGTCGGCTTCAACATCCTCCGCGTTCACCTCCTTCCAGCAGGACGTCAGTAGCTTGAGCCGTGCTGCATAGTGTTCGTGGGTCTTGGCCAAGGAGGTGCCCACGGCCACAATGATCTGGCCCATGCCAAACCTATACTGAGCTTGGTACCCTTGCAAGAATGATGCTTCCAGCTTAACTGTTTCTTACAGCTTGCAGTAACCAAGAATTCAAGAAACCCTAAACCCTGAATAAACCCTAAACCCTAAACCCCAAAACCTAAACCCTAAAAAGCATGTTCCAAGTACCCCTAAGCCACTGGAACTCAGGGGTCATGAGCCCACCAAGCTTTGACGCACAAACTTCAAAGATGATGTTGCGGAAGACCTTGTCAAGACTAGGCCCCCGTTTGGGTTCCTAAACTATAGGGTGCCGTACTAAGAGTAGGGTATAGGGTTTTTCGGGCTTAGAATTATATGAGTTCCCCCCCCAACAGAACAGGGACCAGGATTTTGACAGCTAGCGACCTCGACGTCGGCTGTTGTGATGTCTGCATTCATGTGTCGCAAGGCGATGTACTCCAGGCGCTTTTGGACTAGCTTCGGCTGATCAAGAGCCTCGGGTCTGAAGGAAAGGAACTCACATTTGGATGCCTGCTGGGTGTCCACAGCGGAACAAAATTTCACCTACATCTACCAAGCCCTATCCCTACGCCAAGTGAGAAAAAACAACTTCGAGCCTTAAGAGCCCTAAAACCTAAACCACACCCTGGGCCCTGAACCCTTAACCCAAAGTCCTAGGATCCTGAACCCTAAACCCTAGAACCCAAAACCCCAAAGTCCTAGGACCCTAAACCCTAAACCCTAAAACCCAAAACCCCAAATCCTAGGAGCTTGCAGCAACTCGGTGAAGAGGTGCCAAACTGTGCTGGACCTCTTGAGCATACCCTCGGTCCGGGGAACCTCAGGGCTTTTAAGGGTTACGGCTCGGTTTAGGGTTTAGGGTTTAGGGTTACGGCTTAGGGATGTTGATTGAGGGTTTTTCGTTGAGAGTTTGGTTTTAGGTTACGGCTTAAGCATGTTGTTTAAGGATTTAGGGTTTAGACTTTGGTTTAGGGTTTAGGGTTTAGACTTTGGTTTGGGGCTTAGGGTTTAGAGTTTGGTTTAGGGCTTTGCGCGTAGAGTTTGGTTTAGGGTTTAGGGTTTAGACAATTGGTTTAAGGGCTTGGGGTTCAGAGTTTGTTTAAGGGTTTAGGGTTCAGAGTTTGGTTTAGGGCTTAGGGTTTAGAGTTTGGTTTAGGGTTTAGGGTTTAGACTTTGGTTCAGGGTTTAGAGTTTGGTTTAGGGTTTAGGGTTTGGGAAGTAGGATTTGGGTTTACGGTTTAGCAATAGTAGTTGCGTTTTCTGACTGTCTAACAATTGCTCCCTATCCATCCACCCATCCATATGTCTATCAATCCACCAGAAGCGGCCTATCGATCTATATCTATTTGTATGTAAACACACCTACAGAAAAAAAACGGATCCTGGTGTATACAAAACAGTGGACGGTAGGATCCGTAGCATAAAGCACCCTGAGTAAGGGGTTTCCCGAATTTGCTGACCTAAACCCTAAACCCCTAAACCCTAAACCCCTAAACCCCTAAACCCCTAAACCCCTAAACCCTAAACCCTAAACCCCTAAACCCCTAAACCCCTAAACCCTAAACCCCTGAACCCGCCTCTTTCTTGAGCTTCCCAAAGACATGCTCACCGGCAGCTTTCGGCCCTCCCAGCCGTTTCTCGGTGGTCGCCCAGCCGTTTTGGACTTCCTTCGGGATTAAACTGCCCATACAATACAAAGTGGCCTACTTGGAGGTTCATGGGTAGTTATAAGTGGGGTTATAAGTAGGGTTCCTTTAAAGGGTTCTATAGGGTTTATATAGGGTTTAGGGTCTAGGGGTAGTTATAAGTGGGGTTATAAGTCCCCTAATCTGGGTTATAACTATAGTTACCCTACTTATAACCTCACTTATAACTACCTCTAGACCCTAAACCCTATATAAACCCTATAGAACCCTTTAAAGGAACCCTACTTATAACCTCACTTATAACTACCCATGAACCTCCAAGTAGGGCCACAGACTCGGACTGCTTCTTTGTATGAGTAATGTGGGGACCTTAATGATTAGAATAGGTTTTGGGGCCCATTATACTATTATTATAACAAGGAACCCTCAAAATACGACAGGTAACTATTAAGGCACCTATATGACTCCGGGCGGGATAGGGGAGATAGACTGAAGAGTATTGCTCCATGTCGATGGGAATTTGACCGTTGCGTTCTCTAGCTTCTCGTGATGCACGAAAGCTTGCCAGGGCTTTTGCATGCTTCGCAGCGGATTACAGCGCGACTTGAGTCACACTTTCCTTGATGGTGAACTCGTCAAGCTCGATGACGGAAAGAAGCCTGCCTGCTTCTTCCATGGCACAAATGCTGAGAGGGGAGCGAGAGACCGAGTGACTGTGAGTCCTGCGATATGGATCGACTGACACTCAACACAGCATCAAACTTTCTTCACCTCCCATGTCTTAACCGTGTGTTCGTTGGTTCTGCGGTGAACGCCTCATGCTGCCATCAAAGCCGTTTAGAACTAGATAGCACTCCAACACCATGCCAATCACCAGTCGCAGGACAACAATCACAGTCACCCCGGTCTCAGAGGTCAAAAGCCTTGTCGAGCAAAAATACCTGGTTTCAGGTCTGCCCAGAGCTAGCAAATGACTTCAAAATGGCTGCGGAAGAAGCTGTCGGTTCGCGGGGACCCCAAGCCCATCGTACAGCGGCTGAGACTCCTCTCCTTACGATATTCAGTAGTTCTGTAAAGTTATGTGTGTATGTCTATGAGTTTGTTTATCTATTCACCACGGCCCCCATCCGCGAACCCAAAGCCCATAACCTGCAGGCTCGACCCCGAAACGTTAAGCCCTCGACCACGGCCCTGCCTTAATACACTTCATGTAAGGTTTAGGGTTTAGGGTGTGGAAGCAGATCTCAAAACTACCAGAGCCTTGATTTACAGACTCGAAAGCCTCAGCACGCAAGATTTCAATACCAGGAGCGACGATCCCTTAGCTGAAGCCCGGCGGCGACCAGCACGGAAGAGCAAGCCATAGCCGCACCACAAGCGACTGGTGGCAGAGAAATGCCAAAGGCCTCTGATGGACTCAAGACTGCCTAGCACTCGGGCTTCCGCTGCATAAGACTAGTTGGCTTCGCTGTCTGCTGTAACTCGGATGTATGTTGGGTTCAGCCCGGAACAAGGGAAACCCTAAATTCTGTCAAGGTAGAACCGGAAAAAAGGTGTCCGTAACAAGTGAGTTAGCTACGCCTTTGAAGGCAGATTTGGTGACAAGCCGGACCCCATAACTCAACCTTAACCCCAAAGCCTTACTTTGGGGTTTCGCGGTTTAGGGTTTAGGGGTTTAGGGTAAACCCTAAACCCTAAACCCTCAACCCTGAAGCCGAAGCCCTAAACCCCAAGCAAGGCCCCTTGAAGGATTCGGGGGTGTTTTATACTCTAACTGATGTAGGAACCTCATTAAGAAACCCTGACACTTTATTAGGGTTCTTAATCATGAGCCCGAATATATTGGGGTTATAGGGCCAGGGGTTTCTTAATCAGGTTCCCACAATATACTAAGGTTAGAAGTATGGGCCCCTAATATGGACCCTTTGGCCTTTCTAGGGACCCTTAAGGGTACGTATAGGGTATATAGTAGGTGTATAGGGATCCCAGGGTTAAGGGCCCATACTAGGGGCCCATGGGTTCAACCTTAGATAACCCTAAACCCTAAACCCTAAACCCAGAACCCTAAACCCTAAACCCTATACTCTAACTCTAATCGACAGCCCCAAGGAATACCACACCGACTCTTAGGGTCCAAACCCTAAACCCTGGACCCCATCACCCTAAACCCTGAACCCCAAAGCCACAGGGTTTCGGGTTTAGGGTTTGGGGTTTATACCCTTTTTGCAACTGGCTTGCAACGTCAAGCCAGGACATCTGACTCCTTCATAAGCCCTAAACCCTAAACCCCAGGGTTTAGGGCCCAAAGCCCCCGTGTGTTACCCTGCCTCGCCACACCCAGCTGCCAGGGGCAGCCCTGCAGGATGTCCGGGGTTTATGCCGATCATGACTAATTTAGCGGGGCCCGAATCATTACAATAAGGTTTTGGGGTGTATTAGAGATTAGACTATAGTTATAATGGGGACCCCCCTCCCAAACAAAAAAAATAGTATAGCAATTATTTAACCCCCCTACATTAGGATTTAGAGTCCGTCATAATGCTTATCATAAGCACCCTTAAAGTGGCAAGGGCTTTCTAGGGTCTAGGACCAGTTTAGGATGCAAGGTTCCGTATGATAATCAGTACAGTAGTGTGAGTCCCATGAGTAGTCTCATCAGCATCATTGCGACCGTTTTTGAAATCAAGATTGTGGCTTCTAGGGCGTGCAACTAGGATGTAGAGTTGCTCGAACAAGCGGCCATGTGGGCATTTACAATTTGCTTTGTCGGGCGGCAGCGTGTTTTGTAGGTTTACGGGCTGTTGAATGCACGGATCAAGGACCTTAGTACCAGTATTTGGGGTACATCTTGCCCCCACAAAACGTTCAAAACATCACACATACTCGAGCATTTCAGAAACCGAGATCTTGAAACCCACCACCCGGCCCATACCGAAACCCTTGCTGGCCTGGGAGATTGAAGCCCAACCTAAACTCGCCTGGGAGACTGAAGCACACCCTAAACCCTAGACCCTAAACTCGCCTAGGAGACTGAAGCCCAACCCTAAACCCTAGACCCTAAACTCGCCTAGGAGACTGAAGCCCAACCCTAAACCCTAGACTCGCCTAGGAGATTGAAGCCCAACGCCCAGACAAAGTTGCGGTAGATGGTGCGCCTCAGTCGTTTGGGGCCTGGGATCTTCGGGGCCTCTGGATTGCACGTTTTAGGGTTTAGGGTTTTGGGGTTTAGGGTTTAGGGTTTAGGGTTTTGGGGTTTTGGGTTTAGGGTTTCAGGTTTAGGGAGCTTTTTAGGCCTTTACCTACACCCCCAACAGAAGTTATAAACTCATGGCCCAATACCTACAAAGTGCCATTCTTCTACATGCTTTTGTGGTCCAGGTAGGCTTTAGGTATTCCTAGGTGAATGCTGTCTAGCTTGAACTCTCTAAAACTGCAGCTTCATCCACATCGGGGTTGAAACCTGCAACCACAAGTCCTAACAACAATTCCGGCCATGATCACACTCGGTTTGGGGTTGGGGGGCTGAGGGTTTAGGCTTTAGGGTTTAGGGTACAATTCCGGCTGAGTTGTCCATTGAATTGGAATTTGGATGTTTGGGTGTGTGCGGCAAGGACTTGAGGACAGACCCTAGGCCCACACGCGCCAATGCTCAACACACACAAGCTTGCTTGCACAAGTCAGGCAAGGATTTCGCTGTAAGGGTTTTGGATTTAGCTCGGCTTGTCAGGGTTTTATGACAGTATGCTCAGGAATTCAGTCAGGTTTGGGGGCCGCAGTCCCAAAAGGGTCCTAAGTACCTATATGATATTGGAGATATTTGCCCAAGCCGTCAATAATTCGACTGTAGAAGGCCGACATTCCAATATATAGGTATTTGGCACCCTTGTGGTACCCAAACCCAAACCGACGATGCCACGCGACATCGTGGCCGCTGCCAAATCCAGGAAGATCGGCAGATCCGACAGCTTGGAGCCTCGTTGCCGAATAAGTAAGATGACACAACTCCCGTCTACCTCGGCTTCGACTCTAGAAAGTGTGCAGAGTGCAGCTATAGCCCAACTGTACTACTGTTCAACCGGGTATGATGAAGACTGCACTCTTGCTCGAGTCTGGTGTTAAACCAGCTGGTCTCTACGTGCACATCTCTTCGTCTCTTCAAGGTCATGTCAAAGTTGGGTTTAGGGTTCAGGTTATGTCAAAGTTGACAGATGTGGCCTCCAAACTTGCCTAAGTTTAACCCTAAACCCCTCAAGCCCTATAGCCTATTATACGGTCAAGTGGCGTAGGGGGCCACGGAGTCACGGATATCGGGTGCTTCGATTTCCCCGTCTCGACCCTGTCCCGAAAATGCTAGGGAGTTTCGCGTCTACGTTTGTCCCACATGCAACCTTTCTAAAGCCACGATGGCTTGTTGAAGCATAATCCTCCCGGGCCTTGCCATACCACAGGGTTTAGGGTTTAAGGTTCAGGGGCCTAGGGTCCCCTTTCAAGCAAACAGATAAAACAAGAACCCGAATTTGGCCTGCATCTGAAACCTGGCGAAAAACTGAACCCTGTAAACCCCGAATCCTATTAGCCTATATAAGCATAGTAACTAAATTAACTGAACCTAAACTGGGTTGTAGTTTGGGGGCCCCCAAAAGTATCAATAGGTACCTCTAGAAGAATCGTAGAGAAATTTCGAAGTTTCCCAAAGTGCCACCTACATTGCATCCCGAACCGATGCTAGACCCTAAGCCCTAAACGCCATTTAGCGGCCCATAAGGACGACGTGGGCAGACTCCACAGATACATGGGCTCCGGCGCCGATGGCAACACCTGCCATGGGTTCCGGGCATGAGGCCTTGGGGTTAAGGTTCAGGGCATGAGTCCTTTAGGGATTTCGGGTTTTAGGGTTTGGGGCTTGAGTCCTTTAGGGATTTCGGGTTTTAGGGTTTAAGGCTTTAGGGTTTAAGTTTAAGTCACAGTCTAAGTGTTGATTTAGGATGTTGGAATTGTAAGGTGCGCGAGACATCTTCTGTTGCACCTGCAGAAACCAAGTAGAGCATGCAGACAAGTAAGCTCGGCAAGCCTGGTCAATGGTAGGGTGACTGTCGGGTGTGATTGAAACTTTCTTTCCAGCGTGCTGTCTTGATTTACACAGCCGCTGCACTGAGCCCGACAGGCATGCACTCATGCAGGAATCATGAGGTCGGTATACTCGAGCATGGATGCTGTTTGCTGCTATTTTGGAGCAATGTGCCCCCTCACGAAGTCATGGCTCCGCAATGTACACAGGCACTCGAAACATGATAATTGCAACATGATGCCTACGCAGCAGAAAAAAAACATTCGAGCAACCAGTCGCACACAAACAATCCCAAATAGACAAATTATACCAAGGCTCCCAGCTGCTAGACTCTATGTCCATATTTCATACTCGCACTGAGCAGAACAAGAGCAAGTTGCTGCGCCATTGAGGGCCTATCGATGCGCCAGCGAGTGCAGCGGCATCGTTGAGTCCGTCACCCACCATCAGCACCTGCAGGTGCCAGCGTTCGGATTTGAGCTTTGGGTTTTTGGGGCTTGCCGGTTGCCAGCTTTCGTTTTGACGTTCACTTATATGCGCCCCAATGCACGTCAAACATGATGATTGCGTAAACGTGCACCAATCATGCTTTATTGGGAATCGAAACA